GAGTCAAAATACGTACGTCAAATGCGTACATTCTTCAAAACGTAGAGAAAACAACAGAATGTCCCATTTGTGTTACTTGCGATTTTATCCCAAATGGAAGTTGTATTTTTGCAATCACTTTCAGGTTAATTCTTGTGATCAGAACCTGTTGAATAGAATGAATGTGTCTCCTCAATCCGTCGTTTTGCCTGGGATGATTACGTCCAAATTAGCTGCTTCACCGATTGAAAAATGTGTTTGATCAGTCGCTTTGCAATTGTGAGAGATATCAAACAGCCACGGACACCGCATGTTATTCCATAGCCTGGATAGTTTTCAGTCAGCCAGTGTACTCGCGATCCCTCATGCATATGTGACAACGCACACTTACACTATCCATCCGAGCCCCTATAGGTCACCGAGGCAGAAAGCATACAGTCATTGGCTCGAAGCACGCGACAAAACAACTGTCTGTCGCACGTACGCGATAGACGATGCTATGCTTGGCGTGACAGGGCCGCACCAACTGACTAACCGGGAACAGCGAGATAACAAACAATCCATGATTTGTTCGCAGTGAGCTTTCGTGGGTGGGGTAGTCTGTTCAGGGTGCCATCAGTGAGCTAAAAGAGGCATACCATCAGTAGGAACATCATGTTTGATAGAAAGATGACGTGATCGAACCAGCCAACGGAGCTATCTTCCATACATCTGAGTCATCTGGGTTACCGCTACCGCCAGCGTGGGTATTCCCATGGCAGGCAACAAGGGATGGTATACAATCTTAATTGTCTACACGAAGTGATCGGTGAACAGTGACAGCGCTTTGTTGAAACATTGACTATGGAAAAAAAGCACCAATGACTTTTGTAAATGTGTCAATAAATGAATACGGAAAACAGGATCACAAAACCGTGAGTAACCCCAAGTCCAGAAACATTTCGCTTCCTGCTCAACTATACTCTCGAACGAATTATCCCCGAGACTAACAGAAGAGATAAACTATCTACTGATAAGGACCAACCAAACGATCTTGATTGCTTCATTCACAACTTTTAGATAAATTACATTTCAGGTATTTCTGGTTTTGATGAATTTTCTCAAATATTGCATAAACTTATGCGGTCGAAATGATTTATGTGAGGTAACCGTGTTTCACCGGATTTGTCGGTAACAATGAGGAAAGATTCGTGTTTTCCATTTTCCCGATCAAGTCGAATCAGAAAAAATATGTTCGAACGAATAACCACTGTATCGAACTGTAACCACACTGAAATAGAAAACATACAACTTATTGGATATCAGATCTCAATAAACCAAATCGTTCTCAAACTGCCTCCTTTCATTATGGGTCAGGTTATGTCTAGCATAAAGGTGTGATTTAAAAACACCCAAAGTATCACCTACTTTAACTTTGAAACACGATAGTATGAGGCCCAAAAATGAACACTGGACTGATTTCACTGCAATAATTATACGTGCTTGTATCATCAGTTGCTCTATATCCATTCTGAACCCAGACACGTGTTAAACGTAATGCAATACGCGAAACCAAGTTTACATCATGGCGGCACAATTTAACGTCCTTGGGTTGCAATTTGAGTTTCACAGCTGTACCTTATTCATTGTAGATATTAATCTGCATATTATTGCACCATATAGCTTTAGTACATATTACGCACTAATACAGAGTGGACGAAGACTAATCGATTTCCGGTAGAGAATCAACACCCCACTGCCAGTAGGAGCCTTTATGACGCTCTCATTTACATGAACCTTTTTCCGACATCAATGAAACGAGTGATCATGTATTGTGATCGTTTAGTAAACAACGCTTAGATCAGACAGCATGAAATGATATCATTCGACTTAATGCGTTTCTCAGAAGGAACGGACCACTGCTATTCGTTTCGTAACATTATTTATCGAGTAGCGTTGAGCATTGTACATATGCTTCTACTGTCTGGAGACAACTTCATCAACATTCTATTGAGAATAGAATGCGTTCTGAATTTTTCACTGAGATTACTACAAACGGCTGGATATGGACAACGACGGAGTGATACAAATTGTTTGGAAGGCTTTCAGAGAACTTGAGCGGTGCCTAATGGAATCTCCGTTGCTATAGTTGACCAAACACGGTCACCTGCAAACTGAAAATAGATCGGAGTTAAATATTTGGAAAAGGATTATGAATCATTGTCGTAAAAAATCAATCAATAAAACCTTGTCCTACAAATAATCTTCACAGAAACTGAGATAGTTGAAATCTGATGTCGAGAAAAGTGTTTGTAATTTTACAAAGTGAATTTTATCGTAAGCAGAGCACGCGAAGCTTGAACTAAAACGCTTGGAAGCACTGTACAGCTGGTTTAACCTGATTGGGTTTCAACCGACCGAATTGGGGGTCGAACCCAGAACCTCACAGTTAGGACGCAAACATACTAGTCATGGAACCCCCGAGCAGCTGATCCAACTGTGTATCATTTACTCGTTTGCACTAGGTTCCTTTGGGTAACTATTTTGACGGACTTAAGAAAACGACACGTTTGCATCTTGTGGAAAAATTAAAGCTTATGAAAATGCGTTTTTCTCTGATTGCTATCACCGTCGGTCAGCTGCCATGTTAGAATTGCCTGTACGTCCTTTGTAACAGCATACTTTTTAACCATCATCATTCGATGGCCCCCTTGATGAACTGATATCCCGGCCTCATAAGTCACGGCAATTTTTTGTGACCTTAACTGACCCAACCAACCAGACAACGGATTGAACAAACTGCCCATCTTTTTACCCATCTACCTACCGCCTGCTGGGAACCGTAAGTGCTAGGCGAGATATTTGAAGGCGAGGACGGTTTGGGGGGGAGAGGGAGAGGAGAACGCGAAAATCCTTAACAGTTTATTTCTTGATTTTGTGGCACTGACTGCTTGTTGACGATTCCCCATGCGTTCATGCTATTACACACAAGCAGTTGTTCAGGTCAACTCAGGTCGGATACTTCACTTAGATGAATTTCTGAACCAATCACCGGTACGTAGTTCAAACACTTCTTGAGAATTATTCAACTGAGATTCGGTTTAATTTGTTTTCCTGAAAACTAATGCGCTACTAACTTTGTGACTGAATCAGGTCTGGATATTTGCTTTCGTGCTACACCGTTGTAACAAAGAATACGCGGGGGCTAGGATCACTTGACTGTGCAATCAACGCAAGTTTCGAGCTGCGTCGTATTTCACTCTGTGTGCCGATTCGCGTCTCTGCCATCGTGCCCCAAACACAGATACTCGGAAATGTGGTGTTTTCTGCACGAAAGTACATTAAACGGATCGATATTACTGCTGCAGCAGTTTTCATGTGAGGCAAATATGGAATGTGGCCCGGCACGGCGTGATTATTATAGCGTGTGTGTGTGCCCGAACGTGTGCCTGTATCTGTGTGCCGCATATCCGACGTATTGTACCGGTCGGATGTGTTTGCGGCCCTACGCAAGTGCAATCGAAGCGCTCATTGTATGATCGTGAGCCCAGCAAGATAGAAACACCCAGAACGGGGATTGTCAACCGGGCGGCATGTCCCTCGCGTCTGCTTGCAAAACAGGCACCACCGATCGATCGATGCACATACCTTGTGGCCAACTAGCCAATCATCGTAGGTGGGGTGCATGTCCGATTTTCAATGCTTAGCTAGCGTCGCTGTCTTACGCGCCCACCACCGTTCTACCGGTCACTCCCAGGTACACCTTGCTTGACGCTTTCGGTCAACCCGGTCACCTATACGCTTCGAATAGAATGATGTAAAGGAAAAACAATCCCTATGACCGTGCTTTTACATACCATAGTCTCTGTTTGTGTGTGGGCGTGCTTTTGTATGGTTACATTTTCATTGCACCATTGATGCCAACGCATAGCAATTGATGATTGGTTCCGTTTGTCTAATGAAAAAGGAGGTGCAGGCAAGCATACCAAATTTGATCAGAGGGGGGATTAGGGGATTCGAAAGAAGATTAGGGCATTGGTCGATTGACGGTCTGTCCCCGGTGTCTGTCCTTATGTGCTGTATCTGCTACAAACTAGTGTAGTTACATGGATGCCTGTCTGTCCAACGTTCGTTTTCCCATTGGATACGGCAATTGTGTGCTGGCAACCGCGCTACCAACCACCCCATCACCAGTTCTTCTGTTGCC